GAAATGGTTGTTCTCCCAAGCATTGGCGGACAGGACGTGCGGCGGCGTGTCCTGACAGGGGCGCTCTTGGGCCTGAGGCTAGCTCGAGAACGGGATCGGAGAACTCTCCCCCCACAACGCCACCGCTCCGGCGGGCAGCGGGGAGGGGCAGGCGGTCGGAGGGCGGGAAGGTAGATCCAGAGCGCTACGCCGCCACGGCCGGACACGGCTCGGAAAACAGCGACGCAGGGCCCAAGGATGGGACCCAGGACCACCGTGGCGAACACAGACGAGAAAAACCCTTACTATTTGAAAGTCGTCCCAGTCCTTGGTGAGCACGGGTTAAGTGGTGGGGAGCGGAGCCGACCCCCAAAGGCGACGCCGAAGCGGCAAGGGTCGACCCGTCACCCGAATGTGTGGGGTGTGAAAAAGGTTCAGCACCCCTTGGCGGTAGGTGTAAAGGTGGGGGGTGGCCAACATGCCATAATGAATGGGAGAACTGACGTTGACAGGCACAATAAGCCGGCAGGGGGATAAATCCCGTTCACGGCCTCAGGGAGGAAAACCGCGGGGGTGGCAGGTGACGCCATCATGGGAAGTTGTAAAGGTGTGGAGGTACGTTGGACCCTCCTCTAGGGACGTCTTCGTTGGCCGAGGGTCCCTAGAGGAGTCCTCGGCCCCCTCCGGTGGCGATTGACGCCCTCATGTAAACAATGGGAGTGGGGACCCACGCAACCCCTATAATGGAAGTTGCGTGGGGTGTGTGGCCTGTTGACGGTCCTCACTGGCGAGGCCTAAAGACGGTCCTCATTGGGAGGGAGGGAGGGAGGGGAGGGGAAGGAGGAGGAGGAGGAGGAGGAGGAGGAGGAGGAGGAGGAGGAGGAGGAGGACCATTTGGACCATTTGACCAAGCACAGTCGTGAGGGGGGGGGGGGAAAGAGAGGGAGAGGAAGGCAGAACCCCGAACGGAGGTGCTTTGGTGCAGGCGGAACCCCGCCTCACCGCAACATCCCCGCAACCGCTACTGGCCAGTTTGCCCTCCGCTGGAGGGCCAGCTACCCAGCAGCGGCGGACGGTCCTCCGTCCCCTCCCTGGGGCCCAGCGGCCCTCTCGTACTCTCTCGCCAGGCTTCCGAGGTCACGCGCATCGAGGGCAGCCTGCAGGGCCTTCGGTACCCCTTCTCTGCGGGTGGTACTTGCCCTCCTCGATGCGGCTTATATTCTCTCGGCCCTTTCGGGAAATGCCCTCACACTTGGCCGCCAAGTGGCGCCCATCCACCGTGGCATATTTGCCACAGGTGGTGCAACAACTCAGGAGGAAACGCTCCCACCGCTGGACGGTGTGGGATGGATGCACTTCCCGCCCCGCAGCCAACGCAACGCCTCCCGCCCCCACCACGCAGACAGGGAGGCCACGGCACTGGGTCTTGGCAGCCTCGATGAGGCGAGAAGCTGGCACCACAATGTTGCACTCGCTGCATCTCCACGCTCCCCTGCTTCGCTCGAACAGATGACTGGAGTCCAGAGGCGCGCAGAGCTACTTTCAGCTTTGAGGGGGCTGCTCTCCTCTGGACAGGGGCCCGGGCCCCACTCCGTGGGTCGGCCTCCGCAGCCAGGGCCAGCGCGCGCCTCGCGCGCGCTCGGACCGGGGTGCTGATCGCATCCCAGCGGTCCGTCTGAGGCTCTCCCCCTTCCACCGACGCCGCCCACCCTCTCCCCGCAGCAGCCCCCGCCTCCTCATCAGCCAGGGCACCACCCTGAATTAGGTAGGGATCGATCGGCTCGCTGAGAGAGCTGGCTTCGTCCATGTGAGAGGGGATCCATTTCAGGTTCGCCTCGTTAGACCCAGCTTGGAGGGCCACCCGAATTCTGGACCACCAATCTTGATTTGACCCGTTCTTTTGGAACTGCCGACCTCGCCTCTATGCTTTCATGAGAGGCTCGTGGTCAGTCAAACTCACAGGGACATTCTCTAACGCGATAGCGAACGCGAGCAGCTCCGACCGAGGGACCATTTGGCGCTGCCCTCCTACTGGAGTCGACGGTCCCCACGCCAGCCTCCAGCCCTCTTGGCCATCAGATTGTATGGTGATCACCGCCGTGCCACACCTACGACTACGTGGGTGCGCGCTGTGGGCCCCCCCCCGATCCGCCTCCGAACACCACCACGCACCCAAAAGTGGGGTGCGGTTCAACAGCAGAAATCGGGAGCGGCCCCGGGGCCCGCAAATTTTCCTCCGGAAAATTCGCGAGTTGGGTGTAGCTCTGCCACAGCACTGGAGAACTTTCCCACTGTGCCTGGGCCTGCAGTCTGATACATTCACTCTTCTCGAATTCTTCAAAACCGACGTTGGACGGATACTCCCACACACGGTGCAAGAGGGTTTCCGTGCACTGCTGGCACTTCGGGCACAGTACGTCTACATCATGTCCTAAGGCCGCCTGCCTCTCTCGGGTGAACTGCCTGCCAGACACTGCTGCATTCTGAAGGCCTACAAGGTCATACGCTTCGTTCGCCTGAAACGTTCGAATTTCTCGGCCAGCCAGGAGAACGTCCCCCCCCCAAGCTCCAACCCCTCACACCCCTAATGAGCGGCAGCCTGCGTCCAAAAGTCGGACGCCAAGTCCTGGACTAGCTCACTAGCCACATTTTGAAAACCACCCGCCCTCAATCTGTTAAAGTGTGTGAAGAAATGAAGACGAATGTTCGCGGCGCTAAGGCGAGAGCCACATTTTGAGAACCACCCGTCCTCAATCCATGAAGCCCTTGCCAATCTTTAGAACGAATGTGCGCGGCGCTAAGGCGAGAGCCACGTTTTGAAAACCACCGGCCCTCAATCCGTGAAACTTGTTTTTTTTTTTTTGCAAAAGAAACGAATATGCGCAGCGCTAAGGCGAGAGCCACATTTTGAAAACCACCCGCCCTCAATCTGTGAAATTCTTGCACACTTTCAAAACGAATGTGCGCAGCGTTCAGGCGAGAGCCACATATTGAAAACCACCTGCCGTCCATCTGTAGAACGGTTGGCAGTTTTAAACTTCCGAGTCATCAATGGTGAGGAAGTCTCAGGCGAAACGCCCGGCCCGCCTTAAAAACTGGCTTCAGGGTGCGACAGGGAGAAGGAATGGCGGAGGAGGAGGAGGAGGAGGAGGAGGAGGAGGAGGAGGAGGAGGGGGAGGGGGGGGGAAGGGGGAGGGGGGAAGGACAAGCTAGGTGCGCTCGCATCATATCTGACTTCCTACCCCTCCCTCCCATCCCTTACCATGGCGCTGATTTTCTCTATCCGCGGACGCGTGTCGTAGCTTCCTGTGGCTCCGCGCGCGCGTGCGTAGTGGGTGGTGGTGCACGTGCGTGCGTGCGTGCGTGCGTGTGTGCGTGGTTGTCGTGGTGGTGGTGGTGGTGGTGGTGGTGGTGGTGGTGGTGGTGGTGGTGGTGGTGGTGGTGGTGGTGGTGGTGGTGGTGGTGGTGGTGGTGGTGGTGGTGGTGGTGGTGGTGGTGGTGGTGGTGTGGTGGTGGTGGTGTGGTACTGGTGCTGGTGGTGGTGGTGGTGGTGGTGGGTGGTGGTGGTGGTGGGTGGTGGTGGTGGTGGTGGCGGTGCGGCGCGGTGGTGGCGGGCGGATGGGCGCGCGAGAAAAAGGCCCGCGCTGGGGCGAGAACGCCATCCTGAACGACGGAGGCCAAACACCGATCCGAAAATGAGGCCCACGCTGCAGCGGGAGCACGATTCGGAACGATTCGGGAGCAGAAATGAGGCCGGCGCCTCAACGAGAGCAGCACTTTGGGAAAAAATGACGCCGGCGCCTCAGCGAGAGTCGTTTCCCGGGATTTCCGGGGAATCCTGTGTGTAAAAAGACAGTACGCGGAGGGTGCGCGGCCATCACCTGGACGCCATCAGGGGAAGAGGGAGAGTATTTTCGTAATTGTTGAGGGTGGGAAGGACGAGGAGGAGGCGAGTTCGGAGCCTCCTTCTCTTCTTCATCATCCCCCTCCCCCCGTTCACTATCCCTGACGAGAGGGGGGCGCCAGGTAACAGGAAAGGGGAAGGAGGAGGAGGAGGAGGAGGAGGAGGAGGAGGAAAAGGAGGAGGAGGAAGAGGAGGAGGAGGAGGAGGAAGGAGGAGGCGGAGGAGGAAGGAGGAAGAGGAGGAGGAGGAGGAGGTTTTCCGCTTGATTTCGGCGGGACGAAAATTTCGTCGGAAATGCGAAGAACCGAAATCATCTGAAGCCGATGTCGGGAATAGCTCAGGAAAATCGTTTTCAATGCGAAAACCGTTGGAATAGTGTAGGCCTGGATTTGTGAGACAATGGTTTTTATCAGTGAAAAACGAACGGGATAACTTCGGTCTTAGATATAATCTACATGTCTACTAAAAGCCCAGGACCCCAGTGTTTGATCATCCCGCCGATGGCATAGGCCCCAAAACCTCTTCTTGACAGGATTCTTTACACGATTCTACGGAGGGGAAAAGGAGGGTGATATCTTTTTAGCACGTCCACGGCCTTTTGAAATTTCAAATGCATTTTCATCCCGCCGATGTACGCAGCCTCTGGACTCGTTTCGGGCCCCAGGGGGTCTTCCTCGTCCTCCCTCCCTCTTCCTCCGCCTCCTCCGCCTCTTCCTCTTCCTTCTCCTCCTCCTTTTCCTCCTCCTTCTCCTCCTTCTCCTCCTTCTCCTCCCCCCTCCTCCTTCCCCCTCTTCCCCTTTTCCTCCCACGTCCTCCTCCTCTTTCTCCTCCTCCTCCTCCCCCCCTCCTCCCTTTTCCCTCCTTCCCTCCCCCCCTCCTCCTCCTCCGACTCCAGTGATGACAGGAACGGCGACGACGACGACGACGACGACGGCGGCGACGGCGGAGACGACGGCGGAGACGACGACGATGACGACGACGACGACGGCGATGACGACGAAAGCCGCCCAAGGTCCGCAAAGGCCACCGAATGCCTCCGATGACCCCTGAAGGGCGCCGTAGACCACCGAGGGCTTGCTCGAAGGCGGCCGAGAAGGCTCCCAAAAGCTGGCCGAAGGCCGACGAAGGTCTTGAAGGCCGCGGGAGCCGCCGAGGGTCGCCACGGGCTTCCGAGGACGACGACGGCGACGGCGGCGACGCCTCCCGAGGTGCCGGGCGCCGGGCGCAGAGGGAGGAAGCCCGGCGACGAGGCGCTGGGGCGCCGTGCCGCCGCCGCCGCTCGCCGCCGTCCTCGCCGCCGTCGCCGCCGCCGCGCTGCCGCTGCGCCACCGCCGTCCCCGCCAGCAGCAGGCTGCGCTGCGGAGCACTGAGGTCCCAGCGTTGCGATTTCTGCGCCGCGCGTTTTCGCTCGTTGTCGGGCCCGGGGTCCATCGCGTATCGGTATTGCTCGAAACATGCAGCAGAACGGATAGAGGGTCCAGGCTTCTGGTTTCGATCGTGCGCGATGTTGCAAGTTTGTCGCAACGTCGGATCTGAGGGGACGGAGAGGGGATGGGTGGGCATTTTTGGGGCTTGGGGGGCAATTTCTAAGCCCCGGCTCGGGCCGGAAAGGCGGTCCCGGAGGTGGGGTCTAGACCTTCGGGGGTCCAGTCCACGCTGTGGAAAAGTTGTGGCACCGCTGTTGCCGCCGCCGTCGGCCCTGGTGCCGTCGCCACTCGTCGTCAGCATCCCTTCTGTTACATTTTGGACCGTTTCCAGCGCGCTTTCTCGGAGGCGTTCTGCGGCCCTGGTTGGGGGCGCTGGGACTGCCCCAGGGGCTTGTTGATGCCAGCGCGGGCTGATTACCTTTTGGGGGCTGCTCGTGCGTAACCCTTCGCCTCACGCCTTATGTACCAATGAGAGGGAGGTAGGATGGAGGGAGGGATCATTCAGGCTAAGGATGATGAAACATTGCTCCATGGCTGTCAGGAGCGCCCTCAGAGCGCTCTGGAGCGCTCTGGAGCGGCCGCGGCGCTCGACACGTCCTCCAGACCGGCCGGCTCTGAGAGATTCCCGATTTATCCTCATCCAGGGTTGTCCTGGTCCTGGCCCTGTTGTCGTCTTACGGGGGTTCCGCCAGCCCCGCAGCTTCGACGGGTCGTGTTCGTCTTGCTCGACGTGGGCCTCAGAGCTACCCCAGACATCCAGCCTCTTGACAAAACTCAAGGCAGAGTTGTTTCGCCCTGTTCGGCAAATTGGTGCCGTCTTCGGGCTCGAGGGCCGTCGAGGAACGACTCAGGATGAGAAGCCCGCCCTTGGAAAGGGTCGGGACTTCTGGTATCCCGTCCTGAATAAGATCACGACGTCGGACGCCTGGGATCCCCAGGCGATCTCAACTCCAAATTGGAAGTTCGACTTCCATTATTGACGCCTTTTTGTCGGGAGGGCGGGATACGTGTTTCCTAGCTCCGTCTCTCCTTTGTCGTCGTCGTCCTACTCTTCCTCCATCTCCGATTTCACGCCCTTTGAGCGGCGAGTTGCGAGTGACAAGCTCAGAGGATTCAAGCCTGCGTCATCAAGCTGCGATTTCGTTGGGAGTCAACGCCTGGATGCGTGTCTCCTCCAATCCTGGAGGCCTTCCGCTCACTCTAGCGTCTAGCGGTTTTCGTCGTGATTTAGGACCGCCAGAGCTCCGATATCTTGCTTTTTCAGTGCGGAGTCCCTGCAGCTCTGGGCCACCTCCCGCGGACCCGTTTTTCGTCCTGGATTGTTGGTGTTGTCACGGTCCCGGGGCCCGGCGAGGGCTCCCAGACGCCGAAAAGGGGAAGCAGATCGTCTCGATGTTTCCAATACGTTGGAGGTCTCCTGGGTCCTCCGGGTCGACCCCATCCCGAAGCCGGTCTGCCGTCGCGGGCCCTTCTCTGGCTTGCAGGGCCTGGCCCCAGAGGAGCACATGCCTCCCTCATGGCAACGGGCGAGCCTCCACCTTGGAGAAAGAACGAGCCTCCAGAGCGGGGGAGAGAGGCTTCCAGAGGGGGCGTCGAGCCTGAACCCTGGGGCCCGTTCCGATCCGATCGACCCGATTCGATGTCGGCTCCTGCCAGCTCGGGCCGATTCGATTACGATGCTCCGACGATCGGATGCGGCCCGATGCTCGCACGGTGCTGCCGTGCACCCCAGCGCGGATTCGGCTCCGGCTTCCTTGCCGATGCGGCCCGACCCGACGCACACTCCGACTCGACCCGATGCTCTCGCTCCGCTACTTCCGAGCTCTCTGGGGAGAGCGCCTCCGGTATGGGGCCCCATCTGCGAGGCCAGCTGTGGCTGATCTTTCGGCGCGGTGCCAGGGCTTCAGCGCGGCACGCCATCCACGTCCCATTCCCCAGGTGTCAACGTCCCGAGCTTTCCCCCGCCTTCTGCCCGCGGAGCAGAGCGACTCGCTATCCGCTTGCAGGGCATCGTGTGTCGCCAGGGCCGCCGCCTCGACACGCTGAGCAGAAGTTCCTGACCGCAAACGCGGGGGGCCCCAGGGTTGCAAGAAAGTGGCCCAAAAAGGGCCCTAAACGGTCTCTAGACTGCCTCCGCGGGACCAAAAGGTGCACGAAAGGTGTGCGTTTCTTCACCCCACGTGCACTGCCCCCCGTTAACGAGCACCGGACGGACACCCCAGGGTCCACCTCGGTCCGATCGGTCCGGTCCGAGATCGTCTCTGGTCGGCTCGACCAGGTCCGACTCTGTTGCTACGATGCGGCCCGAGATGCGGCCCGATGCCTGCACAGCGCTGCTTCACGGCGGGACCTCACCCATCGGAGATCGGCCCCCTGGCCCATCTCCTGAACGCGTTCCGTCCAGGCTCTTCCAGGCCGCACGGATGAAGGCGGATCGGATGGGATCGGAGGATCGCGCCGCACCGCCGATGCATCGGCGATGCGGCTCGATTTGGAGCCCGATTTACGTAATCCACGCCCCATTGGTGCCGATGCATCGGCAATGCGGCGCGATCCTCCGACCCCATCTGTTCGGACCTGATTTGGGAGGCTCCAGATCTCGAGTCCACGGCGCGCAGGAGCGATCCTTTGTCAGAGCGACCTTCCCATAGGATCGAAAGCCCCCAGGAAAGGAGGGGTGGCCTTCTTTCTGGATGTCTTCTCTCTCGCTGGGGAGTGAGGGTTCGACAGCCGAAATGGAGCTGACGAGCCTCCGGGCTTGGTGCAGGCCCACAGGGCCCCCCCCCCCCAACGCTGGCCGCCTGCGCGATTGGGGTCTACGCACCAAAAGCCGCTCTTGCCTCGGGTCCCCCTGGCGTGGAGCCGGCCGAGGCAGATCCAGCCGACGCGACGAGGGCCCCCCAGGAGGCCTTCCGAACAGAAACATCTAGATCCTCCTCCCCACGTCCTTTTCTCCATTCCTCCTCCTCCTCCTCATCCTCCTCCTCCTCCTCCTCCTCCTGCTTATCGTCCTCTTCCTCCTGCTTATCGTCCAGTTCTGGGTTGCCCGCCGCTCCAAGGGCGAGTCGTATCGCATCGTATCGCAATCCTTTTCCTTATGCGTAAATTATTCCTCCACGTCGCTCCCCGAGACATGTTGGTTGGGCGGGCCAGGCGTTTTGCGCAAGACTCCCTCACCATTTCTCACCCTTACGTTTGAGCTTTGCACCAGCTTCACGGATGGAGGGTGGGCCGCTTTCAAATGTAGACTCTCGCTTTAGCGTTGCGCGCATTCGTCATTTGCAAGAGTTTCACATATATCCACAGCGCGTTGTTTTTAAAAAGTGGTTATCGCGAGCTTCACGGATGGAGGGCGGGCCGCTTTCAAATTTAGGCTCTCGTCTTCAGCGCCGCGCACATTCGTTTCCCAAAATTGCAAGAGGGTCACGGATGGAGGGCGGCTTCTTTTCAAAATGTGGCTTTCGCCTTAGCGCTGTGCACGCTCGTTTCAAGGGGTTACAAGTGTTTCAGGAATCATCACAGTGAACGTCCCTGAAATTACGTTTTGGAGCGATGGAGGATTGCCAGGGCGCAACAGTTACGTGTGTTTTGGCACGATTCAGGATCGTCAAGACGCAACAGTGAGGTTGATTCGCGGCGTTGAAGTCCCAGGAATGATGCTTTGGCACGGCTCCAGGTTTTCAAATGGTTGTCTTCCAACGGGACACTCCCCTCAGTCCTTGTAGGGGCATCTGAAGAGGGAGCTTGGAGGGAGGGCGTATTACAACATCGTTGATGAGTCTTCGGTTTACACTGGTCTTCCTCCTTCCCTTCCTCCTTCGCCTCCCCTTTCCTCCCTTCCTCCCTCCCTCCCTCCCTCCCTCCCTGCTATATCCTCCTTCCAACTCTTCCCTTCTCCTCCCACTGATTTGTGGGTGCCAGGAAACTCCGAGAAAACTCCTCCTCCCTCCTCCTCCCTCCTCCTCCTCCCTCCTCCTCCTCCTCCTTCTCCTGCTCCTCCTCTTCCTCCTCCTCCTCCTCCTCCTCCTCCTCCTCCTCCTCCTCCTCCTCCCTCCTCCTCCCTCCTTCGCCCCCTCCTTTGTCTCCGTTCGGCCCACACGACGATGGCGACGACCGCCCAGGGTCGCAAAAGGCCACCAGAAGGCACCCGAACGCCCCCGATCGCCCTCAAGGGCGGCATAAGGCCGTCGCAGGCGAACCCAAAACTGGTGCGCATTCGGACTGGGATCTCGGTGACCATCCAGCCGTGGCGGCGAGGACACCCCCTGGAGGCCCCGGGGACAACCGACGTCACAATCTTGCGAAAACTCCCGCGGCGACGGCGACGACGATGAGGGCGACGACGGCGGCGCCCCCGGAGGAGGAGGAGGAGGAGGAGGAGGAGGAGGAGGAGGAGGAGGAGGAGGAGGACGAGGACGAGGACGAGGACGAGGAGCAAGAGGAACCCTCACTCTGGATCCGCCGTACTTTGGTTGATTTTCCGATTTGCAGTTGTGCCAGAATTGAGCCCCAAACTATGGCAAGACGTAGGGCGGAAATATCCGCCTCAGGAAAGTAGGGCGGATATTCCCGCACAAGTGCAGCGGAAGCAGTGACGGCAAACTAGGGCGGAACCCGGCATTAAAGGAGCTTGAAAACTAGAGCTGGAATTTCCGCCCTATTTGTGAAATCGCCCAAGGAACGGCGAATCCGGAGTCAGGGAACAGGAGGAGGATGGCGCCGCGGCGCAGCGCCCCCGCAGGAGACTGCAGCGGGGAGGACGGCGCCGGTGCGCCGGCGTCGGGCGCGACAGCCGCAGGCGCCCCCCCCGCTGGGGTGGGCGGGCTGCGGCCGCCCTCCTTCGGCGGCCTTCGGCCGGCCCCAGCTGTCTTCGGCGCCCTTCGGCCAGCCATCGGAGGCCTTTGGCGGCCTTGGGCGGCCTTCGTCGTCATCGACGTCGCCGTCGCGCCAGTGCCGCCGCCGTCATCGTCGTCGTCGTCGTTGTTGCCGTCGCGGAGGACGAGGAGCGTCGTCGACGCGCGTCGAGCGTCGAGGACCGATGCCTCTGGGATTTGTGTCCCCCCCTTTGGTCTTTGGGCTTGCGCATGCAGCCAGAGACTTTAGGATACCTCTGAAAGAGCGTCGCAGGCGTTGCCACGTGGTGAGCCGTCGTGGAGTGGAGTAGTTTTCGTTTCGCTCCCTAGTCGCTTCCACCTGGCAGTTCCAGTAGAATAGTATGATTTTTCGTTCCGCTGGTGCTGCAGCTGGTGGTGTTGCTGGTGTTGCTGTTGATTGGGTGTTGCGGCTGCCGTTGCTGATGTTGCTTTCTGCTGCCACTGGTTTTGGTGCTGCTGGTATTGCTGCTGCTGCTGCTGGTTTTGCTGATGCTGCTGCTGGTGTTGCTGAAGCTGGTGCGGCTGCTGGTGCTGCTGCTGGGGCTGCTGCTGGTGCTGCCGCTGCTGCTGGGGCTGCTGATGCTGTTGCTATTGGTGAAGCTGCTGGCACGACAGCAAGTGAAAAGGATGATGAGATGAAGAAAAAAGGAGATGAGGAGCAGAAGCAAGAGAGAACACCCTCGGAGCCTCCCCGTCCCCACCTGGCCTTTGTTCTGGAATCCTTCGTCGGGTCCCGCCTTGGAACGGACGTAGGTCATGACATCCTACAGGGCAGTTGCGTCCTCCTGCTGCCGACTCGAGCAAACGAAACGCGAGAAGCAGAGCTTCCTGCAAAGTGTGCCCAGCATGTTCCAGCAGAGCTATGCCAGAACATACTGGTGAGAGTCCGCTCTGCCAGAACATGGGCTGACTAGAGCATATGGGACAAGATGTTCAGAGCAATCAAGACTGCTAGGACCTCTGTGCCTGCACGCACGCTGCAAGGATAGGACATAATCTGCATACGAGCAGAGTGGCGCACAGGCGTGTCGTGAAAAGTCCACGGCACAATTCGAATGCTAACTATGGTATGGGCGACGCCGACGGCGGCGGCGGCGGCGACGACGACGACGACGACGACGGCGACGGCGATGGCGGCGGCAGCGACGGCGACGGCGAAGGCGAAGGCGACGGCGACGACCGCACCCGACGGCGAGGCGCCCGCGGCGCGCTCGAGGCCCAGGCGGCCGGCGGCAGGACGGGGCAGCGGGTGCTGGCCGCACAGCGGGCGGGGCGCTACCTGGAGGCCCGTTCGGCGGCCCTCGGCGTCGCTTCGGCGGCCCAAGTACCCCGAGGGCAGCTGTTCATAAACAGGAGGGGTGGAGACGGGAGGATGCGGGAGGTGGAGACGAGCCGGAAGAGGAAGAGGAGGAAGACCAGAGTAAATCGAGGATGCGTCAACGAGGCTGCAGTACACCCTCCGCCCCAAGCCCCCTCTAAAGAGTCCCTACAGGTATGCCTTTCTACTGCTGGAGGCGCCGGCTGGAGGGCCTGCGCCGAGGTCGACGCCACCGGAGGACGGCTCTGGGCTAGGCTCCCGCGGAGGCGCCTCCTTCTGCTTCTTCTTCCTTCTCCCGCGCTTGCCCCCGCCGCCAGACTGGAGCGGAGGGCCCGCATCCTGATCATGCGAAATCTTCTCGCAATGGGAATGGTGATTGATCCCCACCTCCGCCCAGTCCTCGCCTGCGTGCCTGCTTGCGTACGTGTTGCAGCAGTAGCCTGGCTTCCACATCGAGGCTGGGGCGCTGTGCTCCAGGTACGGGCAGCCGGGTAGGAGACACGGCTTGAGCTCGCGCCTCTGCGGCTTCTGGGCGAGGCGCTGCTCAGCGCCCGCAGCTGCCGTCCCGCGGGCGCGCGCTGCCGCCGTGTGAGCGGCGTCGGCCGACGCCTCCTGCGGCCCCCAGGCCGTCGCCTCCTCGGCTCTCTCTGTCCTCGGCGACGTCGTGGGCGCCCTGAGCCCCGATGGCTCCCGCGCGCCACTCGTCGCCTCGAGCTCCTTCTCCCCCGGCTGGCGGCGGGGGGCCCTCGCTCCGGGTGCGTCTGTCGTCGGCCCCCGGGTGCTCTGGTGCGGGGTCGCCGCGCGGCTCTGCCTGCCGCCGCTCCGCCCCTCGCTCCTCGCAGACAGGGGCCGGGCCTCCAGCCTCCTGAGCACCCGCACGTGCGGCAGCAGTTTAGAAGACTGGGAACTCCAGCACCGGCCGGCCTCGGTTGCACCTCTCCATGCTGCAGGGCTGGTCGCCTTCGTGATCGCGCCCGCGACGGCGCGACTGCCCGTCCGAGGCCCCATCGCTGGGCGGGATCTCGTCCTGCACGCCGTAGGGGATCTGGAGTCGAAGAAGTCCTCGGGCTCCCCCTCGGACCCCCCCCCCTGAAGCACTGCACGCTCGTGAAGCCCAAGCCGTCCTCCCTGACGTCCGCCGTGACCTCGAGGTAGCTGCGCAGGGAGAAGGGCGGCGGCTACGGCCGTGCAAGCAGCGGCCCCACTGGCGAAGGCGGCGGGTCGCCCGCGTGGGCCTCGGCAGGCGCCGCCTTAGCCGGAGGCCTGTCTGCCGACGCGGGCTGGGGCTGCGGGCCTGCCTCCTGAGCAGGTCCTGCTGGATACGCCGCGCCCGCTGATGGGAGCTCGTCGTCCCTGCCCTCCTGTGGGCGCTGCTCTTGCGCTTGCTGCCGGGCCTCACATTGCGGACCATGCCAGGTCCCATTGGAGTTGCGGCACGCGCGGCAGCAATACCACCCTTCCGAGAACTCGAACTGGGCGCGGCCGCTGGCACAAAGCCTGATGCGGTCAGGTTCCTTCCCCGCCCTTTGGGAAATGCAGTCCGGGGAGGGGTCCTCCAGCAAGCTGCGGGCGCTCTTCTCACCCTCTGGCAGAGTGCACGGGATAGCCGCGCACAGGCGCACCATCCCAATGCCCTCATCGTCCCTCGTCGCCTCGAGGTCGTGCTTGAGGTAGCGGCGGGAGCTACCCTTCACCTCCTTGAAGCGGTGGACGTGCCCGTGCCGAGCGAGGCGGCCACCCTTGAGCGGCGCTTGCTCAAGGCGGGCCGCGGACCCCCCCGACTTGATGATGAGGTCTTTAGGCATCATCTTCTCAGCACTGCCTTCCCTCGCCCTGACAGCATTCTTCGCGTGGGCCTGGTCCGCTGCCTCAACCTCTGCCAGGCCGCGCAAGGTCAGGGCGGAGGCTGCGTCGCCCTCCAGGGCCATCCTGACGTCGCGCCCCGTCTTGCTGCCGCCCGCGAAACCACCGGCGTCTTCGCAGTCAACGCGACGCAGGGCCTGGCCGCGCGCAGGAAGCAAGCCACGAACCCGATAACAGAGCCCAGGACGGTCGCCACCCCAAGGGCTACAAGCCCCATGGCAGCCCACGCAGCTTCGCCCAGTGCGTGCCGAACAGGCACCGACTCACGGCGTCGACCATGCCCATCAGAAAGTAGATGAGCTGGCGCAGCAAGGCGCCGAGCGCGCGCCCAGCCTTCTCGCCGAGCCACTGCAGGACAGCCTCGACCCACGCATTGATCTCGGCGATGCCCGCGAGACGCCACTCGGGCGTGGTCGACGAAGGCGAGCTCGGATCCCCGTCTCGCCTGCCCTCCGCGGCGGACACGTTGGGCGCGCTTGGCGGCTCCTCGGGCGGGGCGGCGGCGGACTGGTCTCATGCGCCTCCACTCCTCCGCTGACTGAGCCACCCGGCGGCGCCGGGGCCGCGCCTGGGGCGCTGGCCTCTGGCGCGGGCGCCGCTGCTG